AAAAAAAAAAAAAAAAAGAGAAAAGAAACAAAAAAGGAAAAAAGGAAGGAAAGTGAATGCAGACCAGAAAGGAAATAGCAAATAATATCTATAAGCCACTGCAGCTGGAACAGACCTTAAGGTTAAGTTCAACCCATTTCGTAGATGAGGAAAACGAGCTGAAGACAGGAAATGAATTTCCTGTAGTCACCCAGAAAGCCAGTGGCTGAGCCAGCCCTTCAACCCAGGCCTTCAGGCTCCTAGGTTGGTTCTTTTATGCCACCAGGAAGGCACTGATATTCACTCAGCATTTGTTCGAAGCACATGTGTGTATGCACACACACACACACACACACGTGCACGCAGGCAGTTGGTAGGACTATCTTGCATGCCTCTGGACTCCTGTAAGTACTTAACACCAGCTCAGGCAGTCCCAGGCTCTCAGAAGACACTGTCTGAATGAAGGTGACTACCTCCAAGTTTCCAGGCATATCCAGAAACCAGATCTCTGGATCCCAGGGGTGCCACAGCTGCTGGTGCAGGTCCAGCAGTTAAGAGAGGGATGATCTGCTGTTTCTTTATCTCACTATTATACCCAGGAAAAGGGCTTCCGATCATATTTACCTGGACTCTTTTAGCACCTTAGATCCCCTCTGCCAGGTGTAAGTCTGTCCCAGGAGATTAAACTGGACAGGGGTCAGTCAAGTTCAGTGTATTACAGGGCTAGACCCCTTCAATGAGGGGGAAGGGCCTTGTTGCCCTTCCCTAACCACTGAGCCTTAGTATGCTCAAACAGCTTTCTGGAATTTTGGATAATGGGGAAAGGAGTTAGAATCTTTGTCCCTTCTCTCTCAGAAGATCTTTGGAATTTTTTTTTTTTTTTTTTTTTTTTTTTTTTTTTTTTTTTTTTTTTTTTTTTTTTTTTTTTTTTTTTTTTTGAGATGGAGTCTTGCTCTGTCACACAGGCTGGACTGCAGTGGTGCGATCTCGGCTCACTGCAACCTCCACCTCCTGTGGTCAGGCGATTCTTCTGCCTCAACCTCCTGGGTAGCTGTGACTACAGGCATGCGCCACCACACCTGGCTAATTTTTGTATTTTTAGTTTCACCATAAGGGCCAGCCTGGTCTCGAACTCCTGACCTCGTGATCTGCCTGCCTCAGCCTCCCAAAGTGCTGGGATTACACGTATGAGTCACCGCACCCGGCTGATCTTTGGAATTTTTAAGGCAAATTCCCTTCCACAGATGTCTCGTGACACACACACACACACACACACACACACACACACACACACGAGTCTCTCTCTCTCTCCTGACTCCCCAGGCCTTTTGCCACACCCATTCCCCAGATGAGAATGCAGAGACTTGCAGAGATTAACTTATCTAAGGACTGACTAGCTAGCTGAAGAGTCGGAATTCAAACTGAGATCTGTCCAATGCCAAGTTTCTCTTGTTCACCAGGCCACGTTGAGCAATGCGCAAGGGGTGTTGTTGGACGTGAATGTGGATGCCCTGAGAACCTGGCAAGTGCAGGGCAGCGCCAGGCTCTTCCCAGACCTGCTTGTGAGTGCCCCCACACAAGCCACTTCTCCAAGCCACTGTCCTGCACTTGCCAGCCTGGGGGCTGCCGAGGGAGAGCTGGGCACACAATGTTCACCAACTTTCTCCATCTAAGAGGCTTCTGCTCCCCACTGCCCAAGTGCATTTGTGGCATAGCGCCACTGGAACACACTTCCTTACCACACTCTATCAGGCCTTTGCAGTTTGGCAGATGCAATTGGCTCACAAGAAAATAAAACATTAATTTGCACTCATAAAAAGCGTGTGATA